TTAAGAAAAGTTTAATAACAAATATTCTTTAATTTATTTTTCAATTGAAAATTTCAATTGAAATTAAATTATATTTTAAAAATTTATATTAAAAAAATTAAACACATCAAATTATCACATTTTAATTTCTCATTAACATAATTAATTAAAAAATTACAATTTTAATCAAATTATTACAATTTTATTTTATAATACTTTATTTTTAATCTAATTTTTAAATTTATTGCTTTATTATTATTAATTACTTAATCATGGTTGTTGTCATATAATTGATATACAAAAAAAAATTTATATCAATATACATTAGATAATAAATATATTATTTAATTAAACTATTTATAAAAATATATTTATCTTTAGTTAAAATATTTTTTAGTTTAAGTATATTAATTAATATGTTTCATTTTTAACATAATTAATAAAAAAGATTAAAAATTTAAAATTAATCTATTTTATAAATACTAAAAATAAACCATATTTAAATAAATAAAAAATATATTTAAATTTATATTCAACATAGTTAATGTTGTGCCTTTTTAAAATTTATATTCAACATATATTTACATTTATATTAAAATTAGTTAATATAAATTAAGGTTGTGCCTTTTTAAAATTTTAACTTTTTTATATATTGGATTTTCATTAAAAAATTTCTAAAATTGCATAAGAAAATAGAGATTTAATTATACTTTTAATAAATTTAAGATAATACTAGTTTTTATTTTTATTTTTAAATATTTATTTTAATTTTTTAAAAGAGAGAAACTATAATTTTAGTTTCTAAATACTAAATTTAAAGAATTAAATTTATTATTATTTAATATTTTAATTTTAGTATTAAAAATCTAAATTATATTTTATTAAATTAAAATAATTACAATATATTTTTCTACTTTGAGAATTAAAAATATAATTAAACTAAAACTGAAAATATTATAATATATTTTTGAACTCTTTTTTATAATATTTTTATCATTATTATATTTTTGGATTAATTATTTTTTTCCTAATTTTTATAAAGTCAATTTTAATATTTAAAAGTATTTAACATTTTGAATTCTGAAACTTTTTCTCTATTAACAAATTTAAAAACATAATATACTAAAAAAGTATTATACATAATTATTTCATCCAAATTTTTAATAATATGATAAGTCATCAAATTCGTATATAAAACAAATTTAATGATGGATTAAAATAGAACAACATTTATAAGAGACTATTTATTTTTATTTATGATGAATCAAAAGTGGAAATACATTTAAATTTATAATTTTATTTATGAAACACATTTAAATTTATAATTAACGAAAATAATGAAAATCTTAATATAATATAATACTTTTAGTAATGCATTTTTTTATAAATTTAAACTTAATTTTTTTAGTTTAGTTTTTAAATTTTATATATTATTATTGTTAATTGATATACTAGAATAAATTTATATAAAAATAGTCTTTATCTTCAAAATTCACTTCTTCAAATACTATCTTTATATTTTTCTATCTGTTTCTTTATAGTTAAGAAGATCAACATTTGTGCACACACTTAAATATAATATAAAGTAAAGAGTATTTGTTTATTCTATTTTATTTCTAATCTATAATTTGAGTTTTTTTAAAATATATTTTGTATTTTAAAAATTAGAATACAAATATATTATACTATACTAATATACCATTATATTATTTTCATTGTATATAAATTACAAAATTAATAATTTGTATACTATACTATACTAATATATTATTTGTATACTATAATAATAGTATAATATACTATATTATAATATTATTTATAAACAAAACTAATATCTTTATATCTTTATATATAAATATGGAAAGATATAAATATATGTAAAAATATAAAGATATAAATATATAAATATGTAAAGATATAAATATATATCTTTAATATTTGGTACATGTAAATATAATTTATATATATTTTTAAACCTTTTTCTAATATTATTTTTTAAAAATAAAATATTATTTTAAAATTTAAAATTTAAATATATAAATATATAAAGATATAAATAAATTTATAAATATATAAATATATTAATATATTAATATATAAATATATAATTATGTAAATATGTAAATATATAAATATGTAAATATATAAATATGTAAATATATAAATATATAAATATATAAATATATAAATATATAAATATATAAATATATAAATATATAAATATATAAATATATAAATATATAAATATGTAAATATATAAATATATAAATATATAAATATATCAATATATCAATATATCAATATATCAATATTAAATATATATTAAAATATATAAATATTTTTGTATTTATAGATTTTATAAATATATAAAGATATAAATAAATATATATATATATATATATATATATATATATATATATATAAAAGATATAAATATATAAAGATATAAAGATATAAATATATGTAAAGATACAAAGATATAAATATATGTAAAGATATAAAGATATAAAATATAAAGATATAAAGATATAAATATGTAAAGATATAAATATATATCTTTAATATTTTGTACATGTAAATAAATTTTATATATATTTTTAAATCTTTTTCTAATATTTATTTTTAAAAATATAATATTATTTTTAAAATTTAATATTTAAATTTTTATTTTTTTTTCAAATATATAAATATATAAAGATATAAATGTATAAGGATTTTAATAAATATATAAATATATCAATATATAAATATATAAATATATCAAAATATAAATATATTAATATATTAATATATAAATATATAAATATATCAATATATCAATGTATAATATTATCCTCTCATATATTATTATATATTATTAGCGTAATTTTAGTTTAATTAAAAATTAGAATACAAATATATTATATTATATTAATATACCATTATGTTATAATATTTGTAATTTATTTTTATTGTGTATAAATTACAAAATTAATAATTTTTAAAAAATTTAATGATAATTTTTTTAACTTATATATTACAAAATATTTTTTAATACTTTAATAAATATATTTTTTTTAAAATATTCATCAATTTAAAGTATAATTTTTAATATTTTTTTAGTATTTTTAAATGTGGATATCTTTAATATTTTGGACATATAAATATAATTTATATATGTTTTTAAACCTTTTTCTTTTAAAAATATAATATCATTTTTAATATTTTATAGATTTTATATTTATATATTTATAAAAGTAATTGGATTAAATTTATTATCCCCTCATATATTATTATACATTATTAGCATAATTTTAATTTAATTAAAAATTAGAATACAAATATACTATACTATACTAATATACCATTATATTATTTTCATTGTATATAAATTACAAAATTAATAATTTGTATACTATACTATACTAATATATAATTTGTATACTATACTAATAGTATAATATACTATATTATAATATTATTTGTATACAAAACTAATATCTTTATATCTTTATATATAAATATATAAATATATAAATATGGAAAGATATAAATATATGTAAAAATATAAAGATATAAATATATGTAAAAATATAAAGATATAAATATATAAATATAAATATATCAATATTTAAATATATATTAAAATATATAAATATATTTTTATTTATAGATTTTATATTTATATATTTATACGGATATACATTTATTTGTATATAAATATAATTTATTTGTAAGTTATTATTAAAAAATCCTAGTAGCTCGGTGGTTGGATTTTCAACTTCCAACTCTAAGATACTTGGATTTGAATCCCGACAATGACAATAAATCTAGTTTTAATAAGTTAAACTTCTAAAAAATATAATATAATGGGGAAATAAATATAAATAAAAACTTAAATAAGTAAAAATATTCTATAAAAAGAGGTAGAGGAAATAAATAATAAATATAATTAAAAATGTAAATAAATAAAAATAATTAACTTTGTCATTGATTTAGCGACCGACATAAATCGGTTGCTATTTTTTTAACTTTGTCACCGATTTAGCGACCAATTTGATATATTAATTTTGGTCCCTATTTTGCGACCGAAATAAAATCGGTCGCTAACACATTAGCAACTTTGCTTTTTGCGACGACGTCTTTCGGTTGCTAATTGATTAGCGACCGATTTTTTGACATTAACGACCGATTTTTTCGGTCGCTAAAATGATTTTTTCTTGTATTGACGATTACTAAGTGTTGAGCAAATTAGGGAGCATCTTTTATTTGACAATTTTCTTAAAAATTACACAATTTGGACATGACATGATGAACTATTAGGTTTGTCAATTGTAAATGAATTTAATCACGATTTAGTTGATTCAACCATGGATGATCAACTAGATGACATGATTCGTGATGTTGGAGTAGCACGATCTGCCTCTTCATCAGATGCTTCTAGCCTTAACCCACCATCTCTACCTTCACGTCATGAGAAGCGGAAACGAGTTCAACTTACAAAATCGAGCGAGATATACTTTTGAAGAGTCATGTCTTAGGTTCGAATGAATTATAAGTACTTATTTTTTGTATTTATGATAATATTTATTATGTCAAAATTATAATATATTACAATTTGATTATGTTGCAATATTCTTTTGTTAAATAATGTACCCGGGGTACTTTTATTCTTGAGGATTGGGATGATATCTTAACGGTTGCCCTTGGTCGACTCGAGCACCCCGGTCGTGTTCGAACTGTTGGAGTAGGTGTGGGAATTAAATCTTTCTTTGGATCAACAACACATAAGTCATATTATCATCTAGTGGCCTCAGCCAGGAGTATATACATAATCTGAGAGCACAACTAAGGGAGGAGATTAAGGAGGAGCTCAGACAGGAGATTACACAAACTATGACACAAAACTTGTGGTAGCAGTTTGACCAACGGTTGATGAGCCTAGGGCTCTCCCAACAGGCAACTGTTGTAGCATCAGGGGAGGACAAAGACCCTTCTATCAGGTGTGGGCTTTATGTTTAAGACATTGATTCCCCTAGTCAATGGCATTCGGGAAGATGTTTGAAGGGGCCATTATGTTACATAGTGTACCTCTTTCTGCTCATTTGGTTAAGGCCATGGTTGACAGAGTTCTTGATGGTAGTGTTATTGTGTTCATGCCAATAGATGAGGTTACTAATATAACAAAGACACTTCAAACTTTCATTGTCTGGCCTAGACATCTAGTTAGTCCCATATCTGGAAACACGGTATGACAATAATAATCGTATGATAATATCATTATGGTCAATTACCACATATGAGTATTGTTTGCTTCAAAAATCTAGTTCATCACAATTTTTTTCTTAAAAGACATCTCTTTGGGTTGCAAGAATTCTAGGAAAAGAGGAAAGTCTTTATAGTAAAAATTCCTTATAATAGTCATGTGAGTATGTGAAGCACATGCCCTAAGGACCAATTATGATCACATGACAAAGATCACAAGTCATGGGGCATGGAGGATTTTAAACCATGGGGGATCAAGTACGATCACAAATCATGGTGATCAATAAAGATATTAAACCATGGTGAATCTAGTTGAGAGCGATAATTTCATGATAAGATGTGTATTTGAAGTGCATAATGAATACCTTGTGTCTCACTTTCTAGTAGTATGTTGAGCTTGAAGGCGAGCGTACTCATGTATTATGTTAATTGTGTCCAAGTTCACCCAACACACTTCTTCTAAGAATAAGAGAACTTGATTTGTTGGCTTTGCTATTTTGATAGGTAGCATTGTATTTGAACCATACATCAAGCAAAAATGGGATTATTTGGTGGTAGATTGAGGAGTTGTGTGATAGGACCAAAGTATATGAGGGAACTCCTTAACCCACAAAGTTTTTGTTGCTCCTAGTCGGTGTTTGAGTCCTCTAAATAAAACTTTGTTGGTTGCCTCTAATTAACCATTAGTTTGTGGGTGTTTGACCGATGTGAATACTTGTTGAATTTCCAAGTCTTGGCATAGGCTTCACACTTGTTAGTTGACATCTTGTGTCCCATTATCTAATATTATTGTCCTAGTACTCCAAAATGACAAATAATATACTTCCACATGAATTTCTCTATTTTTTATGCTAAGATAATAGCCACGAGCTCAGCTTCAATCCACTTGGTAAAATATTCAATAGCTATGATAAGAAGAAACTTCATCTAGAGGGTAGTTATCGAAAACAAACTGAGTATATCGATCACTCACTTGCTAAATGGTCACAACAATGTGATTGAATGGAGTTACTCGAGGGGAGTTAAGTTAAGATCAGTGTGTTGTTGGAATTTGGCACAAGCTTTGATGTATTGGAAACAATCTTGCAACATTGACAATCAATAATAGCTAGCATGTACAATTTTGGTCGACAATGACAATCCTCTTATGTGATTTCCATAATGTCCTTCATGAATCTCCATCATTACCCAATGTGCATGCTCCTTTGTAATGCATCGTAACAATGGTATGCAAGAACTCCTACAAAACAAGAAATCATCAATAAGAATGAACTTGATAATGGCTTACGAAAGGATGATTGGGCAACGAGGTTTATTGGCTCAATGCCTTCTATTAAGTATAAGAAGTATGAGGTCATCCATGTTGGGGTTTGCGCTGCAGTGTAACAGACTTCTAGTGCTTGCATAGAGATACTTGGGGATCTAGGATTTATTGGATCACATATTGATGGTTTCCTAACCGGAACTTGTTCTTAGACAAAACATTAGTGTCAGTCGTGCAATCAAAGATAGAGTCTCATTCCTACCCATTAGTCTTCAACTAGAGAACTATGTTCATATACACTTATGAACCTCACATCAGTTAAAGTCGAGTTAAAGGATAATTTATGTACATTCTTCTCTCTTAATCCACCGATGCATCTTTTAAGTACTAAATCGTAATGATAAAGTTTCAAAGTAGACATATCTCGCATGTGATAATTAACTTCAATGATGTTATCATAATAGAATAAGACTAAGATACTCTAGACGAAACAAATTTAAATTTGAACTTTATTATTATATTAAAATATTTTTTTTTACCTTAATCTCTTCATCTATTAATATATTTTATATGTGAAAATTTTAAAAATAATATCCAATTCAAGAAAAACAACTTTTGAACTTAATATGATTACACTTATTATTTATCTTAAATTTATTTTATAAATTATTAGACTATATTGTACTTTTAAAGAGAATATAATTTTAAATCCCTAAATTAGGAAAACAAACTTCTCAAATTTAATAAAAATATATTTCAAATTTTAAATACAATTTTGAATTATTGAATTGTTTTTTTAATAAATTTGAGAGACAAAAATAACCTTTTTTATGTGAGATATTATAATCACTTTTTTTAGATAAATTATAATTAATATTATTATTATATCTATATTTATATTATTAAAAGAGATGCTAATTATATATAACATTTTTTGGTGTACATATCTTTATCTATTTTTACCTTTCAAATTATTTAACTTTTTAAACTTTTTTTAAAATAATTTTTATCTAACCATTTTTTAAAATAGAAGGAGATTGATTGCTCTTTATCCCCAATTTAACTTTAAAAAATTAAATATAACTATTTCTTATTTATTTATTTATTATTAGTATTATTATTATTTCATCATTATGATTGTAATCAATTATTTAGTCACCAATTTAGTAATAATATTAACTATTTCAACTAAGTCACTAAATTTGTCAATGATCTATAAAGACTAAATTTAGTGATCGAAATTAATTACTGAGTTTATGACTACATCACACTCATATATGTTTTACTAGGTCAATGATTCAATTGAATCATTAATTATGACTAAAATTAATGATTACATTAGTGATCAAATAAATTAGTGATTATATTAGGGACCAAATATGTAATGATTGAGTTAGGATTGATTTGAGTAAATGATTTAGTAACCAGTTTCATGAAGAATTAAAGATTGTATTAATGATTGGTTCAATAATCAATATAAAGTAAATGAACTTGTGATTTAAATTAGTGACCAAGTTTCTTGTGGACCTTAGTAACCAAATACGTTATTATTATTAGTTAGTAAAATTCGAATCGATTGGTTTAGTCTCCAACTTCGGTGCTTAAGTTTATGACTAAATTATTAAGTCTCTCATTTTTTGTAAGGAGAGTGTAAGTGGAAAGTGATGAATGTAGGAAAATGAACACTATCAATTTTCTCTTGTTCGGTTATAAGAAAAGTAATAAAGAAGAAATGTCACTTTCTCTTAAAATGTACATGTTTACTTTCCTCTTATAAGTTTCCAACTGCATTTTTGTTTAATGTGGGGGGTTTTTCCGCTCTCATCTCTCCCCGTGCTATATTATTAAAAAACAATTATATTTATAATAAATTAATTTTAATATTTTTATCTATTTTTATAAAAAATAAATGTTTATAATTTTTAAATTTTTAATTATTATTATTAATTAAATATATACTTTAATTTATTATATTTATATTAAATACGTGTATAAAAAAAATATTTAATAATTTCTTTCATGGAATACGTATAATAATAATAATATTATTATTATTATTATTATTATTATTATTATTACACTATATTTTAATATTTAATTACATATATAAGTTAATTATTTTTTAAGTTGTCATTTAAAAATATTTATATATATGAAATATATAGTTTATGAGTAATATTTAATAAGTTAATTCTTATTTAATTAGTTCAAAGTAATAAAAGTTTTAATTATCTATTCTTTTTAATACTTCATAATACAATTATTTTATTAAAATAAAATTTGATATATAAAAAAAATAGGAATAATAAAATCCAAAAATTATAACATAATAAAACCTAATAAAGATAAATTAGAAATAAAATAATATTAGTTACTATTAAGATTGATGTAGAATATTTAATAAAAGATAAAGAAGTAGAGAAATTAATTTTGTGTTTGTCAAATTGTTTAAAAAATTTGGAAAAACAAAATTGATTGAAGAGATTAAGGAAATGTGAAGAAATTAATGTAATGAAAAATAATTTTAGATGGGATGTGAGGAAAAAAATGAAATATTTTAAAAATATTAAAATTTAGAATTTAAATATAAATATAAAGTTGAGGCGGAGACAGGACGAGGATGAAACTAAGGTGGGGATTATATTACTCATCCCTGCTCATATCCCCCACTTTTTAAAGCACAGAAAACCTAAATTCGTCTCAACCCCCAGTCAATTCGATTTTTTCCCATCAAACTCATAACGGGGACGAATCGGTATATGTAGGTATAGGTTTAGTTGGTATCCCTAATCATTAGCTAACTTATTAAATTTTAGATTTTGATTCTGTATAAGTTTTAATTAATTTATATTTTATGCTTAACAAACAAAATAATGTTCCTTATATGTAAAATATTCTTTAAGAGGAATGATATTTAAATAATTTCAAAACATTATGGCAATATCTTCTATTTAATAATATAATTATAATAATAAATATAAATATTTAAAATTTTATTAATATTGCATTAATAATTAAAGATGTTGAAATGTTGTTTCTTTTGAAGGCATGTTAACAAATCATTTCTTTTTCTCGTAAAATAGAAAACAAACAAATGATAGAAATATGAAGAAGTTACTCGACTACACTAGTTTTGTTAACATAGAAAGAGTGAAATCTATTAATGATTAGATTTTGTTAAAATTGTTAATGGAGAAAATTATATATTTTTGCATGGTTTCTTCTCTAAGTTGAAAAGTTAATTTTAATTCATTCAAAAAAATTTGTTGAGAATACCTTTAGCTCTTGTCCTCTTCCTTATTCTGCTTGTATTCATCTCTGCATCACATTTGAATGCCACAGAAGAGATGGATCATAGATGAAGGCACAAGGCAAGTAGAAAACCTAGTTTGAGGCACAAGGCAAGTAGGAAACCCATCTTTAAGAGATGGGTTCTTAGGTAGAAGTAACAATTTACAATCTGCAAGAAAAGAAATTGGATGCAAGAACAATTAGTGGATATTTCATTGGTTATTCAGAAAAAATCAAAAGGGTATATGTTTTACTATCATACCCATGGTAAAGAATTGTTAAAATTAGAAATGCTTGGCTCATTGAAAGTAGTGAGAGTGAAGTTTCACAAAATGTAGAGATTAAAGAAGTTAGAATACAAGTTCATAGTACATCTTCTTCAAGAGTTGTTATTCCACATGTTGTAGAATCATACGACAATCAAGAACAACAACAAATTAGTAATCACGAGAATAACAATGAGTCGATAATAGAACAACACCAGAAATAATATTAAGAATATCTCACAGAGAAAGAAAGTATGTTATTTTGAATGATTATGTGGTTTATCTACAAGAGTCAGAAAATAACTTAAGTATTAATAATGACCTAGTTTTATTTTCAGAAGCCATTAATGGTGATAATTCTGACAAATGGTTAGATGCTATGAAAGATGAGTATAAATCAATGACACATAATGGTGTATGAGATCTTGTGGAATTGCCAAAAGGATGCAAGAGTGTTAGGTGTAAATGGGTCTTTAAGACTAAGCGTGACTTTCACGACAATATCGAATGTTACAAGGCCCGACTTGTTGCGAGAGGTTTTACTCAGAAAGATGACATTAATTATAAGGAAATATTTTCACCTGTTTCAAAGAAAGATTCTTTTAAAATTATCATGGCATTAATAGCTCATTATGATCTTGAGTTGCATCAAATGGATGTTCAAACTATCTTTCTAAACGGGGATTTAGAGAAGGATGTTTATATCGACCAACCGGGATTCATTGAAGAAGGAAGGGAACACATGGTGTGTAAACTTAAGAAATCAATATATGGACTTAAACAAGCTTCTCAACAATGGTATCTTAAGTTTAATGGTATTATTTTGTCCTTTGGATTTAAGGAAAACATTGTTGATCGGTGTATATATTTGAAGATAAGTGGGAGCAAATTTATATTTCTGATTTTGTATGTTGATGATATCTTACTTACGACTAATGATCTTGGTCTATTAAGTAGGACTAAGAAGTTTCTCTCTAACAACTTTGAAATGAAATATTATATGATAGATCACAATGACGGTTAGGTTTGCCTTAGAAAACATATATTAATAAAGTTTTAGAGAGATTCAGAATGGATAAATGTTCAATATCTCCCGTTCCAATACATAAAGGAGACAAATTTAGTCTCATGCAATGTCCTAAGAATGACTTGGAACTAAAATAGATGGAAAATATCTCTTATGCATCTCTTGTTGAGAGTTTGATGTATGCTCAAACATGTACGAGGCCAGATATTAGCTTTGCAGTTGGTATGTTGGGTAGATACCAGAGTAATTATGGACTGGATCATTGGAAAGCTACAAAGAAAGTCTTAAGATACTTACAAGGAACAAAGAATCACATGCTTACTTATAGGAAAGTTGATCACCGTGAGGTGATTGGATATACAGATTTTGCTGGTTGTATGGATACACAAAAGTCTACATTTGGTTATGTGTATCTTTTAGCTGGAGGAGCAATTTAATGAAAAAGTACGAAGCAGTCTGTCATTGTTGCATCCACCATGAAAGTTGAATTTATGACATACTTTGAGGCTACAGTTCAAGCTAATTGGTTGTGGAATTT